TCAGTAAATGACCTTGACTTCAAGGTTATAAGTCCAAATTTGTTGTTCATGCTGCTATTGGCTGAACTTTATTATTTTTGAATGGATTGACTTCAAACTTGAACATAATATTCTTCAAGGATATCCCTTAAAAATACCCAGACAGACCTTTACTTCACTCATAAATGGCCTTGACTTTGAAGGTCAAATTATTAAAATTTTCATTTTTTTAGCTAATATTGGCAGGCTGTAACTCTGTTATTTTTAGCTCGACTATTCGATAAGAATAAGTAGAGCTAATGTAGTCAGCAGAGTGTCAGCGTCGGTGTAACCACATCTTATGTTAAAGTTTTTGTAATACCTCAAATATTTTCAAAGTCCATTGACATATGGCTTGAAATTGCCACACTTGTCACCATCATGACCCCAAACCTGTAGACAGGAGAGGTAACTCTTATCAAGCAATTTGAACAGACATTATACCCTTATTCGACTTAGAATTTACGTAAAGTTTTTGTAATACCTCAAATTATTTGATACAATACAAACAATAAAGCTTAACATATAACAACGTTCTAGGCAAAATATATAGACAGAAACAACCTTGAACATTTTGGATTGCAAAAAATAGGAAAAGGAGAGACTAGATATAAAAGTTCATTGCCTCATTCTTTAAGATACAGAATATTCGCGTCTTGACAGCTTTTTATATGTGTGTTGATGAAAAGATGAAGTTACACTATTAAAGAGTAATGTTAAAGTGCAAAGTAATAAAAAACAATAACATTTGGATACTTTCGAGATAGATATACAATGATAGAAAAAAAGTAAAATAATCCTTTATCTGCTACAATTAAGTAATATAAATATATGATTTGATATATCTTGGTGATGAAATGTACATAAATAAAGATTTATACACAATTAAAGAAAAGTTGTTAATATATTTCCTTTTAAAGGCAAAGTACAATTTTTTCAATAAATGCTGAAATATTTCTTTTAGGAATAAGGTAATAACATAGTTTAAAACTTAATGATATTGGCAATGGCCAATAATATCTTCGTGATATCTTAATCGTGTCTGCGAAGAACTTCTTCAAAAATATTGACGCTAAATAGTAACGTTAAATTTGTTTTGATTTAATTAAATTGAACTGCTTTTTCTGGTAAACATCTTTACAATAACCTTTGTTAACACACTGGTGAAAATTTGAAAATTACATTGGGAAACAAAGCAAGTTCGATTAATTATCGTTACTGTTTCTGAAAATAGAAGGTAACGTTAATTTAACCCATTTGAAACGTATATAATAGTTTTATTAAATACTCAGATGAATTTCATTATAACCAAAACGTTCAAAATTTATCATATACTGTGTTACATCTCTTTCATTGTACATGAATGTGATTTATGCGGGAATTCCTTAATTCACTTTGTACATAGAACTTAGTATAATAGGTATAAGTCTTTTAAGTATAGAAACTTGAAACTTTAATTAATATTATATATATTTGTATTCCATACCATGAAAGAGATGCCGTAGTTAACATGCAATACACAATAGTGTTAGCTTGTTAGAGAAAATAAGAAATATGAGGGAATGACACAGATACGACAAAAATACTTCACAAAGATTTAGCGATCAACAAGTTGTGTATAATGAAATAATCAACCTCCTAAGAAGCATTCAAATATTTTTGGAAAGTCCAAAGTATGTCAGTTATACTAAAAATCTGTCTGCGGAATGGAAAAAACAACATCATTTGTATAAAGATATTTGAATGTATTCTAAAAAATCATTACGAAAGAAATTGCACTCAAGTTTAATGATACGGTATGCGCCATTAATTTATATTGCTTAAACTTAGCGTTAAAGGTAAATTCGAATGTATATTTACAGCAAATTTCGTTGGATCTGTGATTATTATTGTTATTGAACTAAATTATAAAATTAAAAGGAATTATGACAAAATGAAAACTAGTTGTGATATCATCCATTCTCTCACTACCATTACCATTGATGGCATAATGTTACTTTTATTATTATTTTGAAAATGAATGCAGTAATATAATAATAATTAATAATGATGGTTCATAATGTTACACGTATTATTTTGAAAATGGAATGCAGTAATAATAATAATAATAAAATAAATGAATAAATAAATTAAATAATGATTACATTTACACATTAGACATATACAGATTGTAACACGTATCAAAAGCTTATTATCTTATTATTCAGAAAATAGAAAGAAAATACGCTATAAGAAATAAAATATACTCATAAAAAGTTCTGAAAAGAGCTTCACCCTATGTTTGTCCTCAACGTGTGACTTGAGGTATTCTTATTTAACGACAGTTTTCGTAGCAATTTTCGATATAACGAACTTTTGGGTTAGAGAGTAAATTACTAACTAGGCTAAACCAAGGCTTAACGCATGATCCTAACTCTAATGAATGCTTCGTGGTTTACTCACCCCAGGTGTCTTGATCAAGGTCAAGCGTCACTGTACTAAAATAGAAATCAGTTTCCAGTCAATTAACTTGAGTTGCTTTGCGCCTATTGACACCAACATAGGTGTGGTAGGTAGCTTATATTCAAAGCAGCTTGGATTGCCTACCACCGGTGTCTGCGATCAAGTTCAAGGTCACTGTACTAAAAATAGAAAATCAGTTTTCTGCTCCAATAAACTGAGTTTGCCTTGCCTATTGGACACCAACACTTTGGTTGTAGTAGTTATATCAAGAGCAGCTTGGGATTGCTACCAGGTGTCTGTGATCAAGGGGCAAGTCACTGTTACTAAAAAATAGAAAATCAGTTTCCATCTCAATAACTTATGAGTTCGCTCAATGGTGTCTATGTCGCCACTCCAAGGTGTGGATAGGTAGCATTACATACCAGAGTTGTCGGCAGCTTGGGTTGGTCAATAGGATCCTAACTACCCGCAGAGCTTATGAGTCTTTAGTTCCTATTGCAGACCGTCAGTCACTGTTCCTAAAAATACGAAATTGGATAAGCTTCGCTCATAGCATAGTAACTTTTAGTTTGCTATGCCTACTTGACAACCACAACTTGGTGTAGAGGTTATATAACAAGAGCAGCTTGCGATTGCTACCCAGAGTGGTCCTGCTGATCAAGGTCAACGGTCACTCTTACTGAAAAATAGAAGAAATCAGTTTCCTCTCAATACTGAGTTTGCGTTGGCCGATTGCACCAAACTTGTACCCGGTAGTAATGCATACATACTATCATTATAAATGAGGCTACTTGGTGTATTGGTACCAGAGTGTCTGTGATCTAAGGTCAATGTCAACTGTTATTAAAATCAGTATAATCTCATGTTTTTCTGCCCAATAATCTCTGAAGTTGCTTTGGTGAATTGACCTTATGACACCAACTGGCCGTCGATTGGCAAGCCTCACTACAGCACTAGTATCAAGACGCAGCTTAGATGTATCCAGGTGTCTGTAATCAAGGTCAAGGTCACTGTTACCTAAAAAAAGAAATTCAGTACCGCTCAATAACTTAAGTTGCTTTTGGCCTATTGACACCAAACTTATAAGGGTTAGCTTATATCAAGAGGGCAGCTTGGGTTGCTACCCAGGTGTCTGTGATTGAAAGGTTAATGTATTTAGTTTCATTGTTATAACTTTGAGTTTGCTGTGACCTTTGCACAATATTGCTGAGTGGCAGCTTTGGATATTGCCACTTAGATATCTGCGTGGGAGCAGTGGTCCAAGGTCATTTGCTTACAATTAGATTTTCACTAATCTACTCATAAACTCAGTACAACCTTTGAACCTATTGATTGCTTACTCCGCTCATCCATAAAAACTTTTTCGTTGATTGACAAAACCTAATATATCATCGTTATTCCAGACATCTATAGTCCTGCAACAGCCTTGTTCCCTGTTAGGTATTGTGACTATGAGAGCAATTAGAAAACGAAAATTCGATATGGTTTCTGCCCCTCAAAACTATTCGAAAGAGAACCATAAGTAGAGCTATTATAGTTCAACGCCGAGCGTAGGCGTCCTATGTCCGCCTGCTCTGTCGATGACGATAACCACTATTACTGTCTACACATTTCTTGTTAATAGCCTTCAAAATATTTTTTCAAAGTCCATTGACATATGGCTTGACAACTTGCCACACTTGTTTCACCATCATTGACCCCAAACCTGTAAAAACGAGGAGGAGGTAACTGTATCAAGCATTTTGACAGAATATTGCTCCTATTTTTCATTCGACTATAGAAATTTAGCGCTTTAACACGTTTTTGTAATGTTTCAAATATTTCTCAAAGTCATTGACATATGGTTTGGAAAACTTTGCAACACTTGGTTCACAAGCTTGACCCCACACCATGTAAACAGCGAAGAGGTAAACTGTATCAAGCATTTTGAATACAGTAATTCATGCTTCCTTTGACTTAGAATTTACGTTAAAAGTTTTTATGTAATATGCTATTCAAATATTCTTCAAAGTCCATTGACATATGGCTTATGAAATTGCACACTTGAATTCACCCATCCATGATCCCAACCTCATAGACAGAGGATAGGTAACTGTATCAGAACATTTTGACAAAATTATGCCCCTCTTCTCCAGAGACTTAGTAAATTTACGTCTATATAGTATTTGTAATAGTTCATATAAATGTTTCAAAGGTCCATTGACATATGGTTTGAAATTTGCACAACCTAATGTTTCACCCACTCATACCCCAACCTGTAAACAGGAGGAGGTATTGGTATCAAGCATTTTCATTTACTATCAAGCTACTAAGAATAGCCGAGCGTTGCGTCCTCACGACAGCGCTCTTGTTAATACTGCAATCGATATAATTGCACGTTATATAGGAATTGGTATTTGATGTCATTTGTTGCCAATATTGCAGGTTCTCTGAAAGTCAAATACAAAAAAAGAAAATGAACGTAGAAAAGTGCGAGGAGGAGAAGATGGCAGTGCTGACAGTGATTCGTCAGATTATGAAGTCATGTATCCGACTCCTGTTACACATTAGTAATCCTCAAAGTCTTTAGAGTTCATTTGTTCAATATATACGGCTACGCACACATCGTCACGATTGAACGACAATTCTTTACTTCTATCAAAGCCATCATCATATCATAATACACTGACATACATGTATGTAATATTCAGTTTTATCCACGCACATCTTGCAGAATCTTCTGGTGGAAAGATTAACTATATTCATGAGATCATTTGAACCAGAGCTTAACCAAAGGCCAAAAAATATTCTCCATATATTAACAAAAATTCTGAACACTAAAGTTTTAAAATCTGAGGTTCAAATCAGTATCTTGGACATTTGTTGGGTCAATCAACAGCTCACATTCAAGGGTCAAATGACCCCTGTAGTGGCGAATCAAGTAGTTTTTATAAGAATTGGTCTTAAAAAGTAAAAACGTAAATAAGAGTTATGTATCTTTGATTGGAATTTATTGTCACATCTGCAAAATAAATAATATATATATATACAAAATGTATTAAAAAATCCCTTTGTACTTAAATTCCTATTATTGTCTGATTACTTGCAAGCATATTAATCAGTTTTTCCCAACAATTTTTCTGAAACCATAAAGCAGTTGTTTCCTTAATCTTGTAATCAATTTATGCAAATTGCTTCTTTGTATTGAAGTTTAACATTTTTCATATTTTCATCATATTACTAGTGATACTTAGTTTATGCAAATTTCTGCCTGTAGATTAAAATCAAATGCATTTCAGGTGTCCAAATAAGTCCTTAAAAGGCAACACATTACTGGTTGTGACTACTTAGTTCATACTTAATTTCTTATTTCAGATTGATTATGCCAAGAGACGTGAAGAAAACCTGCGCCTGAACAGAGAATTTTTAAGTCAGTATTTGGTCCTGGATAAATGTGCTTATAGTGAATGTTTTCTTGATTTTTCACTAGAAAAAAACTTTAGAAATTCCAAACAAATGTTCATGGTTAATGTTTAAATGAACCACAGAGACAGTTTCTATAAGGGAGGAAAGGAAAGACTGTGAAAAAGGAAGACTACTTGAAAATACGTCCATTATACTGCTGATGTCATGGGATTACAAATTGAACACCAAGGCATAATCAAACTCTTGTTTTCCTAAAGTGTTGATGTAGCATGCATCGCTCAAATGAAATTTAAAATGAACAGCCAGGCTACAAATTATCTAAAATTTTATCTACCATATTCCCATGTATATTTTAAATTCTTTACTCATGGAAACGCCTAGTCTGATATGCAAGAATAGACGATTCCAAAAATTTAACTTGGGCATGCTCATTTTACAGATTTAGCATGTTGAAAGTTAAGATAAAGTAATTGGGGTGATCTTTTTGTTCCAAGTATTATGGTGGCAGTTCACCAGTGGAAAAATTTTATTCAATTTCAATTTATAATGAAAATAATGACTTTGGCTTTCCTTTTTTCAATGAGGATTAATATTTGAATATCGTTATTATTAATTTATTATTTATTACAGGGCTCAAGACAAGATCTCCTTGCGTTCCGGAAAGAGACTGCGCCAATTCTAATAGGGGCCTGAAAAAGTAATAACCCTTGCCATACTAAATATCTCAAATGGACTTGTCTGTTGTTTAATCTGGACAAAACCATTCATTATTCTTAAAAGAAAATTTCAAAATCCAGAACTAGCAATAGGGCAGATTATGAGCAGACGTCAACGGATACTCAGGTTGATCTTGATTTCGCCTCCGGTCACATTGGTAGATTCAGTTGCTGCTATTGCGTTAAAGTGACATTATGCTCATATTTTCATAGTCAATATGAGCTGAATTGACTTTATATTTTAAAGATTGACTTACAAAATAGTGTTTGGCACAACAGTTGAATATTGGAAATGTTTAGATTTAAAGAATTTCTAATTCTGCCTAAAACAATCTCAAAAAGACTGATGGCCCAAACTCTTTATAAACTGAAGCGATTAAAAGGTAAATTCAAATGGATTTAACAGAAAATTCGTTGGGATCTCTGCCGTTATGTATGGTGTTATGCAAACTTAAATTATTAAATGTAAAAGGAGATCTATGGCAAAATGAAAACTTATTTTGTATACTCATCTTTTCACTCCACTAGTATACAATTTGATTGGCATAATGTCACTTTAAATGGAAAAAAGTATATTATTTTGAATATGCACCCTCAAAATGAAGAAACTCAATTTGCTTGGAAAATGATATTTATATCATCTATCATCATCAAAAAAGACTAGTTGATGTAAAAACATGACATTTAACCTGAACTGACGTACATGTCTAGAGTCATAATCCCTCACTTAGATTGTGCGCAGCCATAGATCTCGGACACTCGATCTTGTGAGAAGTGACTCGGGTCTTCTATAAGAGGTTGTCATACTATTCAATTATATTTATATTGCTGTCGCTCGTTAACTTGTGACTGAATTGATAAAGAATTTGTTATTTGTTGATCAGATCATACTGTTGATTGTCTTCTATTTCAGCAGCTATTCTTTGTTTTCAATTTTAGGAAAAAAGCTCCAAAGGAGATTTTAGCCACGAGAAGTAGCCTGAGGTATACAGAACAAAACACCAGAACGGTATAGAGTACCACGGAAGCCTGATAACAGAGTGGCTTATACCTTTTCTTGAACCAGGTTCAACATTGTAAGAATTATTTAGTTATAATTAAAAAGGATTTATAGTCTTTGGAGCAGAAAGAATAGCCATCGAAATAAAGTATTATTTTGGCTTTATTTCTGAAAACATATTAAAAAAGAAATTAAAAGGTTCATTTTTAAGGTTTAAAATTGATACATAGAGTAATAACATGGCAAGTAACTATAATGGAAAAATTATCGCTTCATATATTCAAATTAGCCTCTTATTATATAATATGTCACTTACATGTGGAGAGTCTTCCTCAAACAATGATGCGTTCTCCAATTATTAACACACTCACTGATATTGTGTAACAAAAATTGATTATCAAACCGTCCCAAAATTTTTTCAAATTTTTGATGTGTTGATAGGAGGATTATTCTCCCTCACATACTAATAAAAGATTTAAAGTACTAGCATTTTACCAGACATTTAAAAAATCAATCCTTTTAATTTATGTATGTAATTGAAAATATAATTGATGAATCGGAGAAATGATAATCATATCAACCAATTAAGGGACACCAGTCGATATAACTTTCACACAGAAACTTAACACCACATCTTTACACAATACATCATTTGGTGGCCCGCTTAAGCACAAATTAGGCAATGCATACTGTTTCCTATTGACAGCTCTTGTTTGTTTTACGTCTAACACAGATTTATACATTTTCATAGCTGAGACCCTCCAAGCAGGCCACTTGAGATGAAGGAATAGTCTTCATGGCTCACCGACCTGGTGAAGAAAATCATAAAGAAATGCAGAGTTTAACAAGTTTAAAAACGAAACCAATTAAACCAGCAAGTGATATCTAGGAAGTTATTAAATAATACGAGGTATTGTCCCAATATTCTGTCGACAAATTTCTGTTTAAAAGCTAATAAAACAGATACGAATTTTATATTTAATATGTTATAAACCCATATAATTTAAACATTTTAACAATTTTCAATAGATAAATATCAACAAACAACAAAATATGCCATAAACACCATGGCAACTAACTGAATCGCGCGCACGTCCCGACGTCAAAAGACGGCGTTAAATCTATATAAGGTGCCTTTCTCAAATACTTTCAATGGCTTTCAAACAAATAATGGTACCATAAATCGTCAATTTTCTGACTTAAATCATGTGGTTGTTAATGTCTGTTTTTAATGTTTGGATGGCATACATTAATTTTTGTATATACGCGAACTTCCAGCTGGTCGTTACACCTGTTTTTAGCTGTAGGAAAAACTGGCGACGAAGATCGGTTCTTCCTATCCGCTGTTTTCCTTTATTTTCGACTTTGTAGCGCAAAACTCTGGTTCCGTTCATGCCTTTTGTTACACAAATGCTCAGAATATGTTGCGTTAACTGTTCTATTTGGTATATTTGTTGAAAATCGAACATGTGTCATCTCGAAATAGTCATGAAAACCTTGAGTGACATGTTCACTGCGCCGCAAATTCTTATCGAACGGTCGCCATTTTAACTTTCCTCATTTTATATGAGATATTTCATTTATTCGTATCTATTTTTCGTTTCTTAAGTTATTAACTAAAATTTTCAGAGATGGATGTAAACATAGCCAGCGCAGAGGAAGTCAACGTCACATTGTGCAGACACATCACCAGAAATATACACGTTATTAATTTTTCAGCCTATTCAAACAAAATGTAAATTATTTTGACGTGCGCCGGCAACTCAACCTAATGTCAGTTAATAACTGAAAATTTCTAAGTAACTAGGGTAAATTTTTTTGTAAATGTGTTGTTGTAATGTTAAATAATTAAACTTTAATGGTTTATATGTGTGAATTATTTTCTATTGCGTTAAAACATGAACATGCTATTAAAATTTGTCACGGTACTTTTGGGACAAACCCTCGATAGAATGGTTAATGCACCATTTATCCATGTGTTGACACGCATTAGGACGCATATTAAGCCTGCAGTCTGCAGGCGTGGACAGGTTGTGAGGATTTGATAAGTCTGAGGGAAATATGAAATTCAAAACCTGTGAAGCATTGTCAAGCAGCAAAAAATGTTGGTCAAAACACCAAACAAAGATTTATCACCCTGTGGTTAGCCAAAATCAATGTTTCCATTGCCAGTATGACCTAAATAGTGTTGGTGCCGCTGTAAAACCAAAACTGAATTACCCCATTCCCTGCTACCCTATTGTATGACCGTATTTGCTTATGCTGTAAATTTGGAATGTTTTATTAGCAAAATGACCAAGTACTCTCATGTCCAGTTTGACAGTATTGGTTATGGTCTAACAACATCATTTACATGGATGTGCTTGCTCACCTGGCTATATATTTTATACTAGAATAGTGTGGTTCTGTTATTTCTACCTGCTTGCGTTTCATATATAGTTTTATACTCTGTACAAAGGGAGAGATTTTGGATAAATTTTGTATGTTTTAAACTTAAATTGACTTGGGTTGTCACAGAAAGTACCAACTTTGCTTGACCCATAATTGGGGGATGCAACTTCCCATACATAGTTTATTCATTCTTTTTTTTTCAAATAAGACATATTCAGTAAGAAATTTATATATTAAAATAAATTTCTGGGCTTAAAATATTGTTTTAATTTTCTGACTTGTTTTACAGATATGCTGAAAAGATGTCAAAGACCAAAGTAACTGCTGAACGTGTAGCTAAAGTGGTTCCTGAACGGACCTTCTCATTGGCACTTCATCCCTCAGACACTAAAGTGATAGCAGCAGTGGGGGACAAGTGGGGAAAAATAGGCATCTGGGACGTAGTAAGTTCTTTTTTGGGTTGGAAATTATATGCTGACCATTATAAGAAGGGATATTTTAGCTTTTGTGATGGACTGGTGGCTGTGATATTCTCAATTTCTTTTTTACATCATCATCTCTTTAGTCTCTTGGTAAATTGTGACTTACATTTGTATGTTCACCAGAGGTTTAACATCTTAGAGATTTTATTAAATTTGTTTGGTTTGGAGCATATGTATGTAGGTGAGATGAAACTGTGGAGAAATAATCATGTCAGCTAAACAAAGCATAAGTATTTGAGTGTGAAAAAATAACCTCTGAAACTTTGATAGAAACTATACATACGGTGATATAGTTTTGATATATGTTGTCTATCCTAGTGTAGTTTGCCTTAATTAAGGTATAATCAAACAAAGAAAATAAAATAAAATACTCTAAGGTCATAAAATGTTAAGAAATGTCTGAAACTTCACATCTTGGAGATTTTATAGTATTGACTAAATATAACATTGCTTGAAAAGCCCCCTGCAAATGTAATGCCCCCCATACTACTGGATGAAAATTAAGTCCATTTCATAGAAACCTTTTACTAAAACTGTGAATCTATATAAATTAATTCTAGCCTTCCATATAGTCTCAAATAACCAAAAACTTGAATTGATCCTTTTAATGAAAGGAAATCCGAACTTTTGTAAAACACCCCAAGTTTAAATTCTTATTTCAAATTTCTATTTTTTAGCTGTGTGATAGTGAATCAAGAGCGGAAGGGGTGTGTTGTTACGCGCCTCATTCCCGACCAATCACATGTCTCGATTTTCCTGTACACTCGCCAGAGAAGATGTATTCCTGTGGCTATGACGGAAGTCTGAGATGCGGAGATATGCAAAAAGAAATCTTCATTGATGTAAGGTTTCATTTTTCGTATATGCCCCATAATAAATATATTGAAGATAAGCATTGGTGACCACTTTACTTTTATTGTACCAAAATGTGAAAATTAAGAAAAATATAAAGAGAGGGTATGGCATGTGAGAAATCAAACAATGGTGGGTCTTCCATGGGTGATTGGTTGTGGTCATTCATTTCAAACCACTTGGCCTTCACTGCTGTGGGTTCAAATCCTGACAGGGACTTTGAAGTCTTTCATGATAGGACGCTATCCAGCTAGCCTATGAAACATTGGTGGTTCTACCCAGGTGCTCATTTGTGCCTGAAATAATGCAAGGAAGAGCAACTGAGGTCTTCCTCCAACAGAAAAGCTTGAAAATCAGCATTTGACCTATACTGTGTTGCGACATAAACCCCGACCCAAAACAAACAAAACAAAAAACACAGAAAAAAACTACAATGCTCACTCAGCAAATACTCAAGTTAATAATAAAATTGTGTTATTATAAAAATTGGTGTTGTTAGAGGTTAATAGTGGTTAGCCAAAATCTGGTTTCCTGTTTCAGCACCATATTCTGTGTTGGTAAGCTGTAAAACCAAACAAACCGTTGACTTTGAATGGACATTTGAGCCGCGTCACAACAAAACCAACATAGTGTGTTTGCGAACAGCATGGATCCAGACCAGCCTGCGCATAAGCGCAGTCTGATCAGGATCCATGCTGTCCGCTTACAAACCCTATAACAAGTAGCGAAACTGATAGCGAACAGCATGGATCCTGATCAGACTGCGCAGACTGGTCTGGATCCATGCTGGTCACAAACGGACTATGTTGGTTTTGTCGTGACGCGGTTCATTTGTATTGTTACACAACTGTTCCAAAGTCATTTGAATATGTCCATGTCAACAATATAGACCATTATCAGCCGGCACATCTTGGCCATCTATCGTGGTCTGTTCCGTGGGCTATTCAAACAATATCTTTTTTCATTAACAGGTATTCAATGAACCAGAGGATGACGATGTTTTGTTGAGGAATTTCATTTTCACGTCTCCACACACTATGTTGGTGTCTGAAAACACAGGTTGTGTAGCCTGTGTAGACATTAGAACAGCAAGGTAAGATTTAAAAACACTTTTCGTGATAGAAAATAGGGTTAGAATTATACAGCCAATCTCTTTTGTTGTGAAAATACCATACTTAAAAGTTATTTTCGTAAAGCCACATTAGTTATATTAGTTCTAAAAGCATAAGAAAAGTTTTACAATTGTTGAAAAATTCAAATTTTTCAAGAATGGCTTTTTTAGTATCATCATTGCAAATATGATTTCTTTGTTAGTGTCATCATTGCAGATATGAATTCTGTAACATATGAATATGGACAACATTGTTTTTGATACTTGCATAAAAATGTAAGGAACAGAGGATTTTGATTTGAGTGTAGATTTCATACTGAAGTTGAATTGCATTATATGAATTATTGAGCCTCTGGCAAACATATTGTTGCGATTTTATTCAACAAATGAAAAAAAAACAACATTGAAGTGAAGCTATATGAATGTATGTGTTATATTTTATTTATTGCATACCAAAAAATACAGTAAATTAAAACATTTATTGGCAAACTTGTATTTTAAATATTATTGTTAAATGTGCTTATAGCCATGATTGTATTATGCATATGGTGCCATGTGAAAATATATGCATATGATAGAAAGTCTGAAAATAGGCATGGGTATATTTAAATTATGTCTAGAGGTGCAATAACTTGTTTTGATGCATCGAAAACCAGTTTTGTAGGTGCTGATTGGTTTCCGATATCAGCTATAACCATATAGATTTGATTTACACCAAAAAAAGCCATAGAAAAGATGCTAGTCCCTCTCTGACTAATCTACTGTTTTATTATGTTGCATATGTCAGATTGGTTAATTTAACCTTTTACCCCATGAGCATATTGTGAAAAATGGCCGTTTTCATTGAAAAGCCTCCTGTTACAAGTTGCAACTGCTATAAAACTATGGTCACTTTTTTTAACGAAAAACAGTGTTTGGACCTAAATAGGGCATTTTTTCACTGTTTGAGGCCTCATAAAGGGTAGGGCGTGGACAAAAAGCTGTGAAAACATCCTCCAACAATTAACACGTGAATTAACATTTTGGTTTTGCGGTATTGATTCAGACAAAGTAACATATATGTTTCAATTTTGGCATTTTAAGAACATATGTAAAATTGAAATTGTGTTGACTTTCTGATTCTATTGATGATTATGTATGTGCCAGATTTGACATGTTTGTACTTAAAAATGAGGAGATATTTTTTATTCCAGTACCACAGCTGAACAGATGTATGAATTAAGTCACAAATCTTTTAGGACTGTCAGTCGTCATCCAACACAGCCCTACTACTTTTGTACAGCGGGTGTTGCAGGGTAAGTTGGTTTATTTATAGGAAGTTAAAAAATGTTGGGTTGTAACAATGTTAGGGTATTAAGGCGTCTTTAACAAAATAACGTCTTCCCCTTTGTATGACATGATTTATACACCTTTACAAAAATTATGACATTATTTCTTCACCTTTGTATGACTTGATTTAGGCGCCTTTTGCAAAATTACATTACATCTTCACCTTTGTATGACCCGAGTCATGCATATAAAAAACATGTTACTTCAGTGCTTGCTTGCGTGATTTTATCAATTAATGCATATTTTCATCTTTATTTATGTATATCTGCATGAGCAGTTTTTATGCAAGAATTATCCGTATTGAATGATATGAGGTGCTCCTAAAAGTAAAAAACTTACTCCGTCAGAAAATGTTGAAAGTATAAGAGGAAAGAGTAAGCTATCTAAATCAGTGTTATTTTTAGCTATTTTTGCATGGGTCTGGTAAACTTTCCAAATGGCAAAAGTTTTCCCCCCAACCAATGTCCCAAATTTTCAGATTTCCTCATAACATAACAGTTGTAGCAAATAAATGTTTTTATGAATTTTTTTTTCTCCCCATTGAACTTGATCTACTTCTAAAACATTCCTGATCCGGAAATTGTGGACACATTCTTTTGATGAAAAAAAAAATCAATGTAAATAAATAAGACAGCAATGCAGTCTTCTTGTTGTTGTTGAATATTTTGTTGGTTATACAGGAGTGTAAGTGTTTGGGATCAAAGGAACTTGAAACCTAAGAAGAGCAAAGCTTTATGTGAGCTTGCTATTGGAAGAAACATTAATAGTGCATACTTCTCACCTGTGACAGGGAAACACATTCTGGCGACATCTATCAATGATAAATTAACGTAAGATTATTTTACACTACTTAAGACTTGTGATATGTGTGTAATATATATCATCCATACTCTTAACATACTGTGGATATGGAAGGCATATTTTTAGCTTGACTGTTCAAGAATAGGGAGAGCTATTATTCTCGCGTCAGCATGGCCGTCAAACTTCGGTTACGATTTTGAGTGCCAATTGATATCTCCAAAACTATTGGTCTTTTCAAAATCTTTCAGTTTAGTTTATACAAATTTATTTTAGTTAAATTGTGTTTGAAGCCATTAAGTTATTAAACCACTTTCGAATCCATTTCTGGAAAAACCAGTACTATGCCATAATTTTAGTTTTATGCTCAAGGAGACAACGGCTTGCTACTGACTGGGTTTGAACTCATGTGGCCAGCAATCCTTTGATTACAGTACTAGTGTGATGTGTTAACCACTTGGCGCAACTGTAATGTTTCATAGATATAATACTCACTATGAAAAAGAAGTTATGTTTTCTTAGAAATAACGCGTATATTAAATTACGTGAACAATCTTCTCTGAAAGGAATTTATTTTAGGGTAGCAACATTACCGGAAGATTATATGTTGAAAATGATTTTTCATTTGCAGAATTTATGACAGTTCAGAAATTGGTCCAAATATTACAGTGAAGAAATCCATTAGGTAAGATTTCTAGCTAACAAAGTCATAGTCAAGTCTAAAACTGCTGGAAGGTCAGTGACTTTACTGTGTCAGAAATGTTGCATAGAGGAGCACCTGAGTCCTCTTCCGCCAGTTAATCTGTAAAGTCAACATATAACTTAAAAACAGTGTTGTTGCGACTAAAAACCAACTAAAAAAGGACAAACATAACAAAAAGATCAACAAAGGAAATTAACTATAGATGATATCTGTTAAACATTTAATTTAAATGAGTCCTCATTAGATAGGTTATAATAATTCTTACAGACTGTTGCTAGGGTTACTCATAGACAATTCTTGACCTTTGTGCTATAAAGTAATAAGTCCTCCTAAATATAATAGCAGTTAATTAGTTATTGTACTAAGATGATGAATTGCAAACTATGTTGGTAAGGTCATTTCATCTTAAATAAAATTTTCTCATTCAGTCATAACAATCAAACTGGACGTTGGCTTACTGGATTCAGAGCTGCTTGGCACCCTGCCAGAGAAGATTGTTTTATTGTTGGCAGTATGAACAGGCCTAGAGAGGTTAGTGATAAAGTATGATTAAATCTGTATGCAAGAAAGAAGAGAAGAAAATTTTTGCAACTTTATTTTGTCTTCGAGTTGTATTTCAAATTAGTTTATTAGGTGTTAGTGTTTGTAAGGTGGCTTGATTATAAACATTTGCTCCTCATTTGAAAAGGTTCAAATTCTGTCGGGAGTTAACATTTCATCCATGTAATGCTAGCCCTACAAGCTTACAGAAGGTCAATGGTTTTACTTGTGTGCTTTTATACCTTATATTATCGTTTTATGTGTTTAAATTAATATATGTAGAATTTTTATGCTTTTAGACTTTAGGGCCTCTGTGGAGCTCTGTAAGTCATGTGTGTATAATTCAGGATCAGGTTCTCTTGACTTTAAATTATTTATGCTTAATTATCACCGGAATCAAGGGTCTTTAACTCTGACCGCTCTTTTAATTTCAGATATCACTGTTCAGTGTTGCTGGCAAAAAGCTGCATGCCTTTAAAGATGAAGACTACCTAAACAGTGTATGCAGCCTGAATGCTCTACATCCAACTCTGAACCTGGTTGCCGGCACCAATTCTAGTGGCAGAGTCTTCGTGTTTATGTGATCATATAAAAGCAGATTATGTACTTGGCGCTTTGTGTGTTTATACTTAGACATGTGTTCATAATATTGTGTTCAATGAACTGTTGTGTTACAAAACAGACTGTGTTAAAAAACAGACTGTGATTGAAAGAATATAGTGAACTTTACAAAAGTAGTTTGTTTACATTACTAGAAAGTAAATTGTGTTCATGTGAAGATAGTGATCGTATGATGTCATACTTGCACATTGCAATATTCAGGTCTGTTGACAAGTGATATTTACAATAACTGTGTTCAGAAAGTAATCTCAGGAAAATGTTGTTTATTTACATGTTATTTTTATTTCCCCACCATATGATATGGTTGGCGTTATACTAGAATCACTTTTTTGTTTTGATTTTTTCAAACTTAACTTTAAATAAACATAAAAGATAAATCAGCAATCATAAAAGTCTTGGTAAATGCTTCAGTAAGGGTATCTGTCAATCCTGTGACGAATTTTCAGTTTGAAGCTTTTTTTAAAATCAAGGTGTTATGTAAAGATATTTCTTGCCATGTTTTCATTGTTGTATTAATGACACATAATGGACAACGTAATACCATGGCATGTGGCATTGGAGAAAAAAGTATGATTATTTTATTTTTGTGACTGTAAATAGTGTATGATATTTTATTTTGATATGTAAGTATCTTGTTTCCTTTAAATCAAGACTTAGAGGTACTAACTTGTCTTTTCCAAAAAATAATCCAACTTTTCTGATTAGTGGATCTTTGTCATTGTAGTGCCAAAACTAAATAGCGGATCACTCAAAACACTTTCTAAAGGTATCGAATATGGAACTTTAAATATTTGCTGAACATGACAGAGGGCAGTTGTAAGACAAGGGGCATAATTCTGAAAGGAATCATTTTAGAGTTATGCCCCTTTTTAAAACAGAATTTTTTTGTCAAAATAGCTTTTCAAGATAAAGGATTTGTAAACTATCAAAGGTTACAACCACAAAACTTGGTATACTTTATCATGGCAAGGTGCAGTTGTTACACATGGGACATGATCTTGAAAGCAAAATGTTTTTGAAGTAATGCCCCTTTTTAATGTAGAATTGTTGTTAAAAGTGGTTATTGATAGAAAACATTGAAAATATCAGATATATTGTCCTCATTTTTGGCTAACCTGCCGAGTAATGGAGACGAGGCACATCTGTAAAACAAGGGACATAAAATAGGGATCATTATTTGTAGAGTTTTGTCCCTTTTTCTCATGAAAATTAATTTAACATTTGTAGAAATACCAATAAAGCCCAAGAACCAAGGGCCATTTAATCAAAAATTTTGTCCAAATCTGAAACTTACACCAGAGTAGGTATATAGTCTCTCCTTAACAAAAATCTAACTCTTACAAAATTTTGCTTTCACAACGCTTCAGAATCCAAGATGGCGTCCAATATGGCCGCCGACTTTATACAAAAGGAGTATATATCTTATTATGGTAAATTTTACAGCAAAAATTATGCCTTTTTACAATAAAAAGAAGTGCAAACATTTCAATAAAAATCAGGTTATGATTAAATGACGTGAAATATATAGCCTTTTTGGGTTTTTGTCTTAAAATTTTCAAAATATCAAAGAAAAATGCCTATTTTTTTTGCATATTTTTTATTATGGTTACCTAGAAATAATAAAAATATTCCAAGTAGCTCCTTAAATTCTAATATTGTTTTGTTTTTCATAAATACTATGTGCGTTTTAAGTTGTAATCATAAAAAATGCAAGGAATTTCATAATTTATAAGTTTTATACTTGATTAAATTGGGTGGGGTAATTTCACCCCAAAATTGGAAAAATACAAAATTCGCCGAAATATGTTAATTTTATTTCTCTGCTTTTTATTTTACTTTCTATGTGATTTCATACAATTATTCTCTTTTTTCGTGCATTTTTATTGTTTTCAAGTTTATTTTAATAATAATTTTATGGTGGGTGGTGTAAAATAAAAAAAAGTGCACATACGAATATGTGTATCGAATTACTGAAAGCTACCGGAAATATCGAAAGGTACTTAAAGTTGACTTAATAAAGAAATAAATTAGTAATCTAAAGCAATGGAAATTATATAAACCATTTTTTGGAAATTAAGGCATATTTTGTTATGTAATTTTCAACTTCAAATTATATTTCCTGGTCATACTCTTTCGCCACACTTGTTGTTCAACATGTATGCAGGCATGCATGTGTTTTCACTGTTTATAATTAAAGTCGATTTGAAAAAAAGTGTTTTATGCACTAATTGTCATTTTTATGCATTTCTTGTTCTTAAGTTGTTCTTGTCTTTCTTAAAGTATAGTGGTCTATGGTCTAGGTAAAACAAAAAAGAAGAGAAGAATGCACATTTAAATATATGTATCAAAAGACTGAAGCTACCGAGAAATACCTAACTAAACCCAAATGATCTTATGTTGCCTTAAAAACGTGAAGAGATAAGTTATTGTCATTTTTATGCATTTCTTGTTCTTAAGGTAGAACGCGACACTTTGCGAACTTTCGAGCAGCGTCTTGAAAATTGGCATGCAAACAATTGACCATATTTCTGTTTGGATTTCGTTGATTTTATTTCAATAGTTTCAGCCAATTTTTGTACACATGACGTTTAAGTTGACCATCAAAGCCCGATTTTTAACATGACGTCGTTGCGTATCCTTGGCAACTGTTACGTGTATTTCAACGCCATTGGCGGACAAAATATCTTAAATCCTACAGCATTCGACGGAAATTATTTTTCCCTTCAAGCAAATATAAAACTTATTGTTTTACGCCGAAAATTGTTTGAGTAATGGAAAAAAATTGTTTATTTTGTGTAAAATTTGACGTTCAGTTTAGCCACATTTTCAGGCTTAAAATTGGCTTATTAAAAAATTCCTGAAATAAAGTTTTGATTTTTTTCTTTAAACGTCCTTTAAAATGTATACTTATACAAAATAACTAAAAAAATTAGGGGGTCACCGACTCAAATTTTTCGGTACACGTGATTTAATTTCCCCCACCCCTTTGGATTAAAATCACGCTATCACGGGGCGTTTGGTTTTTTGATGTTATTAAAACGATCACCCTGTGTCATAATCCCTTGTTTTACGGCATTTTACGCTATTATGACCACTGCGGGAAATATATGGATACAATTAAGGTTACGGAATTCCGTATATTATAGATAGACAGGTAAAAATAAGTGAAATTTGTTGTCCGGGACCGTATATCATGCAATACGTATATGACTAATAAACTGTGATCCGTACACTCGATATATGCGGGAACTTTGAATGAAGTCCGTATTTACTAAAATGCGTATCTTTTTAATTACACGGTCAGATATTACCAAAATATGATTTTTTTATTCTTGTAAATATAAAACAAAGAATAAAGTTGTACTTCAGAATTACCCACTTTCTACAAGAGGAAAGAAATAATAGTCTGATCTGACATTTGTCAGAATAACATTAAATAGTAAAACTTTGAGCAAATTGTAATATTTCTCAGTTTTATTAACATGTCAGTTGTATACTGATTAAATAGTTAGTGAAACATCGGCAGATCCTCTACAGTGCCCGTAGCATGTACAGACAAAAAATGACAATATATATTGAAATATCTTTATTTTGTATAAAGATTTACAATGCAACTATATAGCTCAGGGCAGCCGGTTCGATAAAATCCGCAGACGTGTATTTACAGCGTTTCATTATATTTCATGTTTAAAGTATTGTTTCTAAATTTTCCTGTTCAAAATAAATTCTACCATAAATTTGGCTATACAGTGAATAATGAATATTTGCAAAGGCCGATTTGATAGTAATGTGTTTAATACAGCGTTTATGGTGAATCCTCAATTAAAATGATAAGCAAAACGAGAGAATATGTATTACAGATGTTTATTTACTTGTAGAATCGGACGTGCTACATCTGACTGTAATCCAACACCCGCTGAGCTAACGTTTCAAGCATGACTGTTTGCTTCACGCTAATATAATTGACTAAGTTTCATTTATGAACCGTATATTTTAATTTGTCAATATTTCGCCAATTCTGTCAAATTGTTGCAATAGGTTTTTGATTACAAGTGAAATTCAAATTCTGGTTTTTAAAAGGTGAAATGAAATACATATCACTCACAGTTTATCACTCATAGTGTGGGGAATGCAAAATGTATATATTTGCAGAATTTCTTGTAGACTACGTTTTAGTTTATGATTAATTTCCATAAATTTCTAAATTTACATAAAACTATGTAGTTGCTTTTTGTTCCTTATGGCAAATTTCTCGATTCAAGTTTATTTATCTTCTTGTATTACGATATCAAAAAGGAACACCGCAAATGATTACTCTCAGCAGTATTAAGTTTTGTTTGCGCAGCGTAAGCGTTGCCGTTGAACGCCTAACGTCATTTTCTTTACAAATCCTTATGAAGTTATTAATCATGCTTAAAAACAAGAAAAAAATCGTTTGTTTTTCGTACAATTTTAAGAATTTGCAATGGAACATTGTTGCTGTTGTTTTATATGTAATAGTAAAACGATTTTTCTGATAAGCTGAACATTATTGCCGCACTTTGAAGTCTCAAACGTATCTGCATACGTCGAATTTCGTTACAAAATTACTCACGGGGTGGGGGGAAATAAAATCACGTGTACCGAAAAATTTGATTCGGTGACCCCCTAATTTTTAACCAGGTTTTCCGAAGGAAAAAACTGGTTATTAGATTGAGGTATAACGGCGGGCGGGTGGGCGTAAACAATTTCTTCTGTGCGCAACTCCTCCTACATTTCTCAACGGATTTTGACCAAACTTTCACAGAAGCTTTGTCATCAAGTGCCCTGGCGCATATTGTCGGGGTTTTGCGATTAGATAATATTTGACCTAATTATGGCCCTTTGTTTTTTTTTCCTTATATAAAATATATAGTGAACAATTTCTTCTATGCGCAACTCCTACATTTCTCAACGGATTTTGACCAAACTTTCTCAGAAGCTTTGTCATCAAGTGCCCTGACACATATTGCCAGGGTTTTGCAATTGGTATATATATTTGACCTAATTATGGCCCTTTGTTTTTTTTCCTTATATAGAATATATAGTGAACAATTTCTTTTGTGCGCAACTCCTACATTTCTCAACGGATTTTGACCAAACTTTCTTAGAAGCTTTGTTATCAAGTGCCTGGCACATATTGTCGGGGTTTTGTGATTGGATAATATTTGACCGCATTATGGCCCTTTGTATATTTTTTCCTTATACAGAATATATAGAGAACAATTTCTTCTGTGCTCAACTCCTCCTACATTTCTCAACGGATTTTGACCAAACTTTCTTAGAAGCTTTGTTATCAAGTGCCTGGCACATATTGTCGGGGTTTTGTGATTGGATAATATTTGACCGAATTATGGCCCTTTGTATATTTTTTCCTTATACAGAATATATAGTGAACAATTTCTACTGTGCGCAACTTCTCCTACATTTCTCAATGGATTTTGACCAAACTTTCACAGAAGCTTTGTCATCAAGTGCCCTGGCGCTCACTAAATTCCCATGTTTCTTCCAAGACATCATTCAAGTATTTTTTTAAAATTGTGAATATACTTTTCTTGATATCGCACAAAACACCACACGCCAATATTGTTGACAAAAGAAAATGACAAGAGACGCAAAAATGCAAAAATTAAGCAAAAATAAAGTACTATTTACCTTTCTAAAACATTTGGGGAAAAAAGGCGAATAGACAACATAAAATTTCTCAATCATTTTTGTTTGAGGAATATTAAAAAAGCCATAATTCCTCCTAAAAGTTCAATTAAAAACAAATACCCCTTCATGACAAAGCTTCTGTGAAATATTTTGCTGAAAACCTGGTTGCATCGCATTGCGATGTTCCTTGTTTTAGTTATTTTGACTAAGTATACATTTGAAAGGACGTTTAAAGAAAAAAATCAAAAATTTATCTCAGGAATTTTTTAACAAGCCAATTTTAAGCCTAAAAATGCGGCTAAACTGAACGTCAAATTTTACACAAAATTGACAATTTTCTTTCCATTACTCAAACAATTTTTGACGTAAAACAATGAATTTTATATCTGCTTAGAGGAAAAAATAATTTCCGTCGAATGCTGTAGGATTTAAGATATTTTGTCCGCCAATGGCGTTGAAATACCCGTAACAGTTGCCAAGGATACGCAACGACGTCATGTTAAAAAACGGGTTTTGATGGTCAACTCTGACGTCGTGTGTACAAAAATTGGCAGAAACTATTGAAATAAAATCAACGAAATCCAATCAGAAATATGGTCAATTTTTTGCATGCCAATTTTCAAGACGCTGCTCGAAAGTTTGCAAAGTGTCGCGTTCTACCTTAAGTTGTTCTTGTCTTTCTTAAAGTATAGTGGTCTAGGTAAAACAAAAAAGAAGAGAAGAATGCACATTCAAACTAAGAGTCTAATCAAGTTTCTGATATTGAAAAAAAAAATAATGCTGCATTGCAGTTATTAGCTATCGTTTTCAGTTCAGACATTTTCGGAATTATGGATCTTACGTTTAAATGAAATAATATGTAGACCTTTGATATTGAAGCACTTGAATACATTATCCTCGGGCGTCTGTCATGTTTCGTTAATAACTGTTTGTTCTGTGATTTCATCCTGAATACATTCGTCTTCGAAGAACGAGTCCGAAAAGCAGAAACCCTCACACTGAAAACATATTATGTATATATACATATTAATTTTAATGATACGATTTTTTAAACAATTATTTCTACACTTCAAATAAAAAAGATTAATGCAAACGTTACGAGTATTCAGCAAAATAAATGGAATTATTATTTACTTTAAAGTTTACATTTTAACAACTTTAATGATTTAACATACTTTTTACAAACAATATTTACAACACATATTCATATCATATATTATTGTTTAATACCAGTCAACTGTATAAATACAATGCAATCATCTTTTATTTAAAACACAAGAAACAGTCTTTTGTTGCTTTTCTCACCTCTGTTCAATATATACCAAAATAAATAACATATTTTTATTATAACTTGAAATAGTATTATTTGGAATAGAAGCAATTAATTAGTGTTTATCTTGCTCCTTTTTTTAACAAACAGCTGATGACATTTTTATTAAAACCAAAGTACTGTCTTATGGTGCAGTAGCAGTACCACTTTTTAAGACGGTAATCCAATACCTGTACCAGTAGTTTGTAAAAGTAATTCGGTATCAGTACCAGTACTTGCAAAATCACTGCAGTACGTATTGCAGTATCAGTACCTGTAATGCAGCTCTGGTTAAGTAATGACGTTTTCATAAGATCAATAATTCAGGTATAAAAGTCACCGGTCCTTAGTGTGTCATCCATGTATCTTGTGTTTTATCAGCTGACACGTGCTGTGGATGATACAGATAATTATTGTTGGAATATGTTTAACATTTTATGTTTTATTGTTACCATGGTATATTTTCCTCCTTGTTAATGTGAGTCATAATCAGTTGTGTTAACGCAAACACTAAACTTTGATTGATAATGCCTGGCAAAGCCAGATGTCTTTATTATCTATAGATTATGATATAATCAAATAATTAACTAAAAATTAAAATATGCTGTCATAAAGAAAACAATTGTAGCAAACTTTATAATAGATGACACAAAGTTGAACCATCAACCTGTCCAATCAAAGGATAAAGTGTATATATTATTTTATATGCATGTATATATTTTCGTAATAAAGCCCCACCATTTCTTCGTAATGTTAAAAACACCACTTTCTGGTGCCAACTGTTGAAACAAGGGTTGTGATTCAATTACGCGGTTCAACACGTGTAAAGATTTTTCTTCACATGCACACGTACATAACAGCAATATCAG